AAACATTATGGATTTAATATAAGTTAACTACTTTTTTTTATTAGAGAGAAATTAAAGAAATATTTAAAATTATAATAGTTTATTTACCCGACCAATTTACTTTCATAATATTGTAAAAAAATTTTTAAAACAATAACATCTATATTAGTTTTACTTTAAATCTAATTTATGAATGCAATTTTTCTTTATTATTATATGGGTAAACTTAATTAAGGTTTAGTTTTCATTATTTAATAATATTTGAGGGTAATATTAAAGATTTTATTTTCTTCTTATACGTATCTCACAAAAACATATTCATGCAAATCCATATATGCATACGTCTATTTACATGTGCAAATACACACATAGACACACGTGCAACAATATACACAAATGTTCATCCATCTTCATACATAAATTACATATACACACATACATTTCTCAATCATTTTCTTTTAATCACTTCAAGACTTAGGCGGTCATGGCTCTCCACATTTTTCAGTCCTTTTTAGCTCTTAATAAAATTTGTCTTTTTGTTATCTTTCTTAAAACTTCTTCCGTCATTTATTCACTAAATAGTTTATAAGTTGTTTTTCTCGGTTCTGTGAGGATCAGATTTCCCAAGCCGTCTTTCCTCATTATGTACCATAGCAATTTTAACTGTCGATTCCTAATGTTAAGTATGAGTTTACTTTTTATTTCCATTTTCTCTAAAACTTCGTCCTTTCACACATGTTAATCCATGTTAATCTCAACATCCTTCTGTAGAATCAGATTTGCTTGGTAAGGTGTGAAATGTGTAACAGCAACCATATTAGTATTGTTTTAGTCCTGAATTAGTACTGTGAATAGCACTGTGAATTAGTTAATTTTATAATACTCTTCATTAGTTTTCACTCGTTATGTGCAGCAAATAATAATCTTTTATCGTTGATACATTTGGTCGAGTAATTATATTTACCCTAATTCTCCATGTATAATACGCCTTCATCTATAATACGCGCCCGTAAAATTGTGCTGAAAGTGTTTCTACTCAACATAATAAGCACTCCTTGTTTGGTAATTAAACTCTATAAATTGTACCTCTCCAATTTCATTACAGCTAGCGTTCCTACACTTACTAAAAAATAGTTTAAACATAGAATAATATTATTCTGATTTAGTTTTATGATAATTCTTATTTTATTTTATATTTGTAAGTATTGTTAGGTATATATGATATTATTTGACATCTTTATGGAGTCGCAATCACCGAATGTTACTTCAAATTGTCGTATGTTTATGGTGAGTAGTCATTTCGCAACTGTTAGTTTCCAAGCAGTCTAAAAAGGGAAAACTCTTATAGGAAATATGTCAGATTATGCAACAGAAATTATTTAATCATTATTTAATCATTTTTTTTTTATGTTCTATTATAATTTTAAGTTAAAAAACATAAACCAAATTTCACTAAAAAATATCAAGAAAATAAGGAAAACGGCATCATACTCCAACAATAAATCTAAAAACTGTAAACTCTGTTTGGAGGGGGAAACAACTATTACCATCTTCAATTGCTAAATATTTTTTTTAGAAAAAAATGCGTATTATACATGGGGAATTACGTTATATATTGATTATAATCAATCTATGCATAAATCAAATATAAAAAAAATGTTATATTTAAATTTAAATCTGTACACTTTATGAGTCATATCCAATCATGGCTATCAATAGCTCCGTGTGTTTTTGTTTTTTTTTTTGTTTTTTTTTTCATTTAAAATTAAGAAACATTCTTCAGGATTTAAACTAATTTCAATTTCCAGTAGTTGCCAGTTGTTGAGAAATCTTTGCATGATTTCGCAACAGTTCTTGAATGAGAAAACCTGAAATGTTTGGATTTTCGAAACTTTTACACATATATTTTTGGGATCATCACCTTTCATTTAGAATCACTACTAGAACAATCTATTGGTTAGTTATGGAATAGATTCTATCGGGGTTAATCTTTCCTCTGTAGAAAATGCTTTCCGAAGCATCCACTCTGAAAGTACGCCAGTTATTAGAAAGTTAAAATAATTTGAATAGTCGAAAATTTGTTACGGTTCTATAAAATTACTTAAAGCTATTTGTAATTATGCTATTAGAACAATTTGTAAAGTTGTTAATAAAATTACTTAGTTGTCTTTATATATATATATATATATATATATATATATATATAATTTTATTTAAAAATATGATTCCATCGCTACATAAGAGTTCTCATGTTTCAAAACAAGAGCCGAAAACTTCAATATAATTATTTGAATTAAATTGAATTAAAGTACCAAGCTCTGTTCCATCTTCAAGCGAAATTTCTTTTGAAATATATATATATATATATATATATATATATATATATATATATATATATATATATATATATATATATATATATGTATATTTATATATATATATTTTGTATATTTGGAAATCAAGAATTTTTGAAATTCATAGAGTAAAAAAAAAAAACAAGTAGCATTTATATATATATATATATATATATATATATATATATATATATATATATATTGTAGACATTCAGTATTATCAGTCACAGTCACCAGGCAAAAGTTTTAACGTAAAATGAGATTAGCTAAAAATCTCGGGTACATTGTTACTAGAAAGAGTACAAAGGCGTTTTTAATGTGATGATTCGGTATCATTTAGTGGCTGGGATTTCTTTGATAGCTATCCGCTTATCCATCAGTCGACCTCATTCCACCTGCCGGTAATCAATTTTTAAGTGTTAGTCATGTGTTGGATAACGGAAATGAACCGTTTGTCTATTCAGCTCCTAAGAAGAAAAAAAAAAAACTCCCGAAGGTCGGAGATTCTTCAATCGAAACGTTGTGAAAGCCAATGTTAAAAGTTGAATAGCATTCAGATATTAGTTAAAAAGGTAGTTTCCTTGGTTACTCAAGTTGGGGTTTTATTGGTGGGAGGGTGATATTCTTATTATTAATTGCTTGGTTCTTTTTATTCTTGAAGTGACAAATTTAAAATAATTGTTTTCTTCCTTTACACAATTTTCGAAATACTTAATGAGAAAATGTCAATTACTGTAGGTAATTGGCGTCAAAGTCAATACCTGAAAAATTAAAAATAAAAAAGATTAAAACATGCTAAAGAGTAAAAAAAAATAATTTGGGGGATTTGTTGTTTATTTTTACCCTTTGTTTTTGCTCTTATTTTAAAAAAAAGAAATCATACCTGTCTCTTACTGTCTAGATTGTTTCTAGCAATGAAATGGCTAATCGATATCTTAATCAGTAATAAAACAAAAAACAATTTTGATTTCTTTTATATTTTAAGGGGGAATAATATAATTAAAAAAATATAACGGATTGTATATTTGACTTTTTTTCTTGTCACATCTGATAAAATCGATGAACAGAGATCGAAATTTGATATCTAGAAAAAAATAATACTTAAATATATATTAAAGAAACGTATACGCTTTAGAATTCGAACCTGTATCCACCTGAACAAGAAAAATTCATATTACCCGAGTTCTAACTAGGTGAGCTATCAGTCTATATCAACTTCAAACGATTTTAATTGCACTATTTAACTGTTTGAACAGTTAAGGTTTCAGTAACTCAGCTGCTCAGAGTATGTTATATATAACGACGGTTCTCTCTGCCCAGAGGGACGCAGGTTCAAATCATGCTGGGGAAAAGCGCATGTTTTCTTTAATAAAATTTCTCTAATATTCCGGTAGACGAAAATAAATAAAGGTAATGCCTAGTAAATAAACAGCGCGTTTACTCAAATACAAGTATCCACTAAAAATAACGTTAAAAATCATATATATATATATATATATATATATATATATAATCTTTCGGAAAGTAATGTCCCATTTCTCTCAGCCGTTTAGAGTCTTCACCCCCGCCAAAAAAAAAAAGCATATTAATATTCTTTTGAGATTGTCATACTGACTTAGTTTACATTATCATTCTGAAAAAATGACAAATATTGCATACTAGCTTAAAAGCCGCCCTGCGGAGAGCTCTTGATTGGACCTTCGTCTTGTTCAGGAGTTTGAGAGTCTCAAAGATTTTGCATTTCTCAGCATTGGAAGCTCTACTGTTTTACCTGGGTTTTCATTTGGCCGGAACATTCTTTTCCTCACTGTAACCTTGGCTCTTTTTTTATAGGAGTCTGGTCACCTTTTTTCTTCTTGCGAGGGATACTGCGATAGACAACAATAAACTACAGAAGAACTCAAAGATGATCTTTGCATTGAAGTATTGCATCAATATTTAAGCTTGCCTTTTAAAAGTTAAAAAGATAATTCTTCTGTCACCACTTAATTTAAAACAGGTTTCTATACGTAGGTCCTTATTTTCCATACAGACAATGATTTTTATTCATGAGTGACTTTCGCTGGATTTCGCAATTAATTTCCATTATTGCTAAATTTATTTCCAAGTTATAAAAAATTGTTATCGTACAAAATGTTCGTCGAAAAATATAACGTAAAAAAATCGCCGATAACAATCGCAGTTATGAAAAATGGGAATCCAAAATTTCAGGATTGCTAGTCCGGCTCAGGCCTGGAATGTTTTTAATGTGTTCAAGGAGACGGCTTGTCTCCAAAATGGTATCATATGTTGGGCTACGGCCTCTAGGAGTAACGTTTAAAAAGTGTGACACAGTGAAGCACTGACATTCGCATTTATTTATACAGATGAGTTAACAGTGTCAGCGATGTCACTCTCCAAGTGTTTAGTCCTTTCACTCTCCTAGTGTTTAGTCCTTTCTATTTCCCAGTGTTTAGTCCTTTCTCTCTCCAAGTGTTTAGGCCTTTCACTCTCCTAATGTTTAGTCCGTTCACTCGCCTAATGTTTACTCCTTTTACTCACCTAGTGTTTAGTCCATTCACTCTCCTAGTGTTTAGTTCTTTGACTCTCCTAGTGTTTAGTGTTTTCTCTCTCCAAGTGTTTAGTCCTTTCACTCTCTCCTAGTGTTTAGTGTTTTCTATTTCCCAGTGTTTTGTCCTTTCTCTCTCCAAGTGTTTAGGCCGTTCACTCTCCTAATGTTTAGTCCGTTCACTCGCCTAGTGTTTAGTCTTTTTACACTCCTAGTGTTTAGTCTTTTCTCTCTCCAAGTGTTTAGTTCTTTGACTCTCCTAGTGTTTAGCCCTTGCTCTCTTCAAGTGTTTAGTCCTTTCACTCTCCTAGTGTTTAGTCCTTTCTCTCTTCAAGTGCTTAGTACTTTCTCTCTCCTAATGTTTAGTCCTTTCTCTCTCTTAGTGTTTAGTCCTTTCACTCTCCTAGTGTTTAGTCCTTTCTCTCTCCTGTGATTGATATTTGCGAGCTCTCCAGTGTTGGCCAAAGCAGTGTCGAATGTAAAGTTCAAATTGCAGACAATAAGGATCTGCTTTTATTATCTTTCTTTATTCTAAATGATACGACTCAACTGAGAATTTCCCAAGAATTTACGAGATGTGACTTTGGTACAGAAATTGATATTAGTTTTTCGTTTTGTTTGTATTTTAGATTCTGTCAGCAGCGAATGAAATAATCTGTTTCAGAAAGAATACCTTTTATTGCTCCTAAGTTTTATTCTGTACTTGGCAAAGACAGTTTTGTTAATCGCCAATAGGTTTTCATTCCTTCTCTAGAAATACAATCTTAAATTCCCAAAACATGTATACCATGGTGAAAATGTAGTAATTTAGAATAAAGTTCATTGTAGATTGTAAAATTAGCTAGATGTAGCCGCAAGTTCTATGCTATCAGATCCTTCTTCCACACTACTCATTTGTGTAACACTCTTCCAGCTTCCTGCTTTCTAGTCAACTTTGATGTTCAAAAATTTAAATGCAACATTAATCGTTATATTCTGTTTTCTTAATTGTTCTTTTATTATTCTCTCTCCTTATTTTCTTTCATCTCATATTCTATCAAACTCAGTAACGCTTGAGTCTTAGTGGCTTTATTTTCTTGTTTGGAGAGAAATGATTTTTTTAAAAAAGATAAACATTGTCAAAAAGATGTGAAATAAATGTTTTCATACCCAGCCTTGGCGTACTCTTGGAAATAAAATGTAAAAACAGTGAGTAAAATAATTACAGAATATTAAATATTTAGCTTCTGAAAATGTTACTTTACTTTCCGAAGGAACTGGCATATATATATATATATATATATATATATATATATATATATATATATATATATATATATATATATATAAAAACAAAGACATGAACCCGCAGAAAAAGAAAATAGATTTAAATAAATTGGATGTCATTATTTAACCTTTAGGACCCTTTCAGGCAACGCTTTTTCAAAACGTAATCGTTGCCGAAGCAAGAAACAATCGAAGGCACATTAATAAAAACACGAATGGAGAAGGAAAATTGGAATTCGAAATTCCAGTCACCTGAAAAAGGCCGGAGTGTACAACAGCCGAAACGTTGTGAATATGGCAATGATAACAGTTCGAATAATGTAAATAATGCAAGTAATCTTAATACCTCATCTCAGAGATTCAATCACCTGAAGAAGGCCGGAGCGTACAACGGATGGAACTTTGTAAATATAGCAATGGAGATGAGGGTAACAGTCCGAATAATGTAAATAATACCTCATCTCAGAAATATGGACAGATAAAAGAAAAAAAGACAAACTAAAATGTTTATAAAATGCCCAAGAGCCATTCGAGGTAGAGGATTACAGAGTCATTTAAATAAAAACAATAAATAAATAATAATTTAAATAAAGACAAAATAATAAAAAAAAAAAAACGAATGAGGAGGGAAAATTGGAACAGAATTAAAATAGACTGTAAATAAAATAACGACTAAAAAATAAGCGAAGTTCCAAAAAGTGAATAAAATGGAAAAAAGTCACTCCTAAACCGTCGATCCAATGTAAGGAACGAATAAAATGTTTCTTTTGCTTAAATAAGCTCGGCTGAGAAAACTTAATGCACGCAGGATGTTTTCAATTTTCGTGTTCAAATTTTCCTTCCGCATTTGTTTTTTTTTTTTTAAATTTTTTTTATTAATGTGCCTTCGATTGTTTCTTGCTTCGGCAACGATTACCTTTTGAAAAAGTATTGGCCGAAAGGGTCCTAAAGGTTAAATAATGACATCCAATTTATTTAAATCTATTTTCTTTTCTGTGGGTTCATGCCTTTATATATATATATATATATATATATATATATATATATATATATATATATATATATATATATATATATATATATATATATATATATATATATATAAAAGTGAACATAAAGAACACTTAGTCGACAGTCTGAAACATGCTAGACGCGGCCTGAAGAATGCGTCTAGCATGACTTCTTCCTTCACTTTTATATTTACACACGCTCTTATCTCTGATATTGAGCACTTTATCCCATAAATATATCACACCTTAAGAGTATATGCCTTTATATATATATATATATATATATATATATGTAGCAATAGGTTTTAGTATCTAATTATATAAATCTATGTATCTATATATATATATATATATATATATATATATATATATATATATATTTATATATATTTATATATCTATGTCTATCTATCTATCTATCTATCTATCTATATATATATATATATATATATATATATATATATATATATATATATATATATATATATATATATATGTAGCAATAGGTTTTATTATCTAATTATTTTATTCGAAAAGAGGTCTTCTAAATCAGAGTTCCAATTTCAGAGATTGAAATCTGAAATTAAATTATTACCTCTGACTGATGCAAACATTTGCATTAACGTTTCTTACCCTAAATGACATAACTATTATGGGATGGTATTAGTAAATTCTATTGTTGCTGTCCCATAATAGTTGCTACATTTGAATTTATATATATACTTTGAACGTAACAAATGTTATAGTTAAGAGGTAGTAATATTAATGACACAGCAGTTTCATAGGGGCGGATGGCTCTACCAGCGAAAGCCAGGTAACTTTGTCTTGTCTGCAATATGGAAGGCTCAGTCTGGAGCTAATGAGTGGTCAACTAGGCCTTGGGCAGGTCTTTCACGCTTTATGTAAACTGCATTCGTGTTCTTGTAAAACCCACAAGTTGGATTATCGGTGTTGCCGGAAACAGAAAGACAGAGTTAGAATGGTAACATTTTCACAGATTGGGAAAGTGATATGAATGGTTGGGAACTAAAAAAAATGAAACAATTCTCTTCGAGCATATCAGATCAGTGCGCATGCGTGACTTTATCCATTCAGAATTATATAACCCATAATTATAAAACTGAGCTTTGTACAGTGTTGTGCTCTGTGTGCGGGCATGTCATCAACAACATGCTCTACTCAAATCTACTTAGTTGTTTTGTCGCAAAAAAAAAATAATTAACACTTCATTATTTAAAAACAGACAAGACGAAATCTAACATTTTACTATCAAATATATAATTTACTATAAAGGGATGAGTAATAAAGCTTTCTACTTAAGTATACTTTTTAACAGGAGTAGAGATTTATTGCTTGTTTCATGTTTAGGACTGTCTTCCAGCTTTTTCACCTGAAGTCTTTTCATTCTCTTTCACTCCCAGGAATCTCTTGCATTTTAGTGGTACTTTTACCTGGCTTGGGGTGAAAGTGTTAAAAAAAAGAAAAAAAAAGAGAAAGAAAACATACGGCAATACTAAAATGCACTGCATGTCACTGATCGAACTCTCTCTGTATTATATATATATATATATATATATATATATATATATATATATATATATATACTTTTCGTTAGGTGCTTAAATAAACGTGGTGCAGCCTAGATAATATGTCTTCTATTTTAATATATAATATTTTGCACGGCAAGCTGTTGTTGTTGTTGTTGTTCTTGCTGTTGTTGTTGCAATTGTTCCATTGTCAACCGTTTTAATATATGTGTATATTACATCTGTGAGTGAATTGTCTTCTCACTTTTTTTTAACAACAAATACGTTAAATAAAGATAAAATAACAACCAATCAAAGACCGTCTATTGTCAATCAAGGAAGCTTATTTTTTTCTTACAAGGAAAAAAAAAGAGCAAAAAATTAAAAAAACAAAAAAACAAAAAAGAAGAAAATCAAAAGATTAAGAAAGAGGTTCTTTCAACAGAAATCATCTTTTAACTCCGAAGGTTCTTGTAAACTTTTGTACAAGTGGCCCGAAACGATTTGTGATTGGCACTATTGCATTTTATCCCGCGCAAAATGAAAAATCAACTTTAAAATTTAAAGCATACTCCACAGAAAACAAAGGCTTTAAAAAAAAAGTCCCTATTGTGTTTTTCTTCACTTTATTGTGAGATGATATATCATATGTATAAAACTCAAAAAAAAAAAAATATATATATACAAATCTTGAAAATACAAACGGCAAAAAGAAGGAATTTTTATTTTATGTAAGAATTTTCGATTAAAGAAATTTCATGTACAAAAAAAACAAAACAAAAAAAAACAGAAAAGCAAAAAAGACATTGAAGACACAACTGTTTATCTTGCAAAATGAAAAAAAGGCTTGACGTTCTAAAAATAAGTTTTTACAGCAAAATGTTTAGCAAATTTAAACATGTATTTAGCTGCATCTTTTATTTGAACTTATCTCATAAAACGATTTACATTCATCAAAACAATTCATATATATATATATATATATATATATATATATATATATATATACACATATATATATGTATATACACATATATGTGTATGTGTATGTATATACATATATATATATATGTATATACGCATATATGTATATATATATATATATATATATATATATATATATATATATATATATATATATGCATGTATGTATGTATATATATATGTGTACGTGTGTAAATATTCCCAGATGGAATGTATCTGTAGAAGAGACAAAATGAATAAAAGGTGACAAGAGGAAAAACTATACTTAACCGACGCGTTTCGTCCTCTGGGAAAAGTTTTTCGTCCTCTGATTGCCTTTTGATAAAGTCCCTCAGAAGACGAAACGCTTCAGCTAACCATAGATTTTCCTCTTGTCTTTTCGTTCATTCATTCATTCATTCATATATATATATATATATATATATATATATATATATATATATATATATATATATATGTGTGTGTGTGTGTGTGTGTGTGTGTGTGTGCATGCTTGCGTATGCATGCATATATTAGGTTAATGCAAGATTTCTCAAATCTTTATTCATAGCTATTCGTCTGATCAATATTCAGCCAGCTAAATATTTTTCTAGTTTTCTATGAAATTATTTCACCTTTCAGCTAAAATATGCATTTCAGCAGAAAAG